TGACTCCAGAGTCATTTTCTCAACTTTTACATGGAATAATCAATGAGTGGAACTAGTTAAATAAATAAAAATAAAGAAAATATAAATAGAAGTGACTGATATCAGAAGCTGATTTAACACATCAGTTAAGTCCAGTTCCAAGTGCTTATAAAGTAACTTCCACTAATTCAGTGGTTTGACTTCCTTTAAAACATTGGCAGCAAGCATGTAGTGTTTGTTATTTTTATTTAATTTTAAAGTTTTGATAAATAAGGATTTTAATGTATGTTGTCATATTTTTCACATTTAGCTTTAAACAAATATTTTTAAAAAGAAAATACATTTTATTCATAAAAATTCCTATTTTTTACATCTTTTTATCTAGATATCTATATCATTTTAATCAAGTAACCTTTTTCTTTCATCTGGTATACCCATTTGATCAAAGATACTTGGCAGAAATCAGTGTACTGCTCACTGGGTCTATGAAACGTATTTAAAGAAAAAGAAATTCTTTAAAGCTGTACAACTAAGTGAAGTGAATGGTTCACTTAGGTTTGTAAGTGGTGTACATGCCTGAGGTATTGGAAGATTGGGGCTTTTATTCATGAGGCAGAAGGGTGACTATATTTCTAGTTGCTTGCTGTTCAGAATGTTTTCTTTGTTGCTAGTGCCAATATTTGTTTAGACAGCTAATTTTTTAATTATTATTAATTTTTTTTTTAGGAGTCTGGCATAATTTTGTTCTTGGTGTGGCAGGTCTCGTAGTTCTGTTCCTGCTGCCAGCAATTCTTTTCCCTTTTTACTACACGGGTGTTGGAGCACTTGTCACTGAGATCACAGAGGTGAGAGCAGGTCTTAAATTATTTCATTTAACATACTGTATTACCTGAAATACTGTACTGGCTGCCATTATGAGGGTAAAATTTGATCACTCCATAAAGAGATTAAAAATCCATCTAGTATTTGAAAGGATTATTGCTACAAATCAATCATTGCTTGATTTGAAAGGATCATGGTGGCCTGAAGAAAGAATTTAGGCATATGCATATAATTCATTCATTACATTACAGACTTTTGATTCTTAAGCTTTTCAGTATTGGCCCATAAATGTTATGGGTGGGAATTTCCAAAGTGCTAAAATGACTTTGTTTCAGCCATGTTGGTCTAAGGACATAGGCAGACAAGGTTCTTTGGGTAAATCTGATATATTTTATTAGATCAGCTAAAATAGTTTGAAAAATTCTTCTTTGCAACCTTTCAGGTACAAACACCCTTAGTCAAATCCATTGATTATTTTTTTCAGTAAAATTTGTGACTGTCACCTAGGCAGTTTTGAAAATCCCACCCTGCATCTGACAACTTGAATAAAATGATAGCATCTAAAAGGCCATCTGATAATTGGTGAAAGAATATATAACATTTTTGATAATTTTAAAAATTTGAACAGCAAAAGAACTACATAGAAATAAAATTATAAAATAATATTAGTGTTAAAGGCTATTGATTTACTTTTTATCAGAAGCTATTTTATTTAAAAACAGAAAATAATGTACATTTGCTGCCTATGTACATTTCCTTCATTTTTTAATATTAGAGCCAGAATTTTCTAATATTCAGTCTTAACTCTTCATTTTTGTTTGTGTTATTTGAATAATTAATCCAGTTTTTTTTTATATTGGATTTCACTATTGTAAGTCCATTTTTTATAATATGCATTCTTTTTTTTTAATTTGATGATAGCATCATACAGGAAAATCCAAACACAATTTTAAAAAATGATGGCATTCTCATGTGGTCTTTGGTTTTATTTGCAATTGAAGTGGAATGGGGAATGGGTCTGACTCCCATGTGTCAAGTATCCGGACGTATGATTTTTTTGTAGTGCAGACCACCACTAATGAGCCAAACAACAACCCCCAAACCTACAATTTTCAACCTGATATAGCATATTGTATTTTTTGATCAACCAACGTTATTTAGCAAATGCTTGCCTGATTTTCTTTGCGTGATATTAATAAGAATATGGTAGAAATAGTTGAAGATTGTTTGATTTTTTTTGATATTTTGGGTGAATTCTCAGATTTATTTCTATTTTTTTAATTGAATTGAACAAAACCAACCCTAGACGATGAGAGAGAGAGAGAGCAGTGATCATTTGGTATTGTAATATGAGACTGTGCAGGGGATCCTCTGCTCTCTTGGTCAACGGAAACTGGGAGCCAGATAAGGCAGCTTTCTGAGCTCCTGGAAAAGTTGTTTCATCTCATCTCAAGCAGTCAGATTCTCTGATAGCAGAAATGACAGACATTTGGTATTACTTAGATCAGTGGTGTTCAACCTTTTTTCCCCAGCAGGCCAGATGTACGGTGTCTGGTCTGACCAAGGGGCAGATAGTAGCTGTGATCCAGCACCCAGGACCAGCTCTGCAACCATGCAGAGTGGGGCAGAGGCAGCTCAGCCTGAGCCCAATGCTGCAGGGGGGGAAGGGGACTTTACCCTATCGTGTGGAGGTGGGGGAATTATGACCCAGCATTGGGGGGGAGGGAAGGGGGCTTGACCTGCCTTCAACCCAGCCCTGTAGGGGGGAAAGGGGTATGACCTGACCTCATGAGGGGAGGGATTTTGGCACAGTCCCAACTGAGCCCCATGGGGGAGAGGGCCTGGCCTGGCTCTGACTGGGCACACAGGGCTTGGGTTTGGGAATTTTTCAGGGGTAGGGTGGTCATATTAATGGCCACCACTCCCCACCCTAAATTTCCCAACCGTTGGGGAGCCGTGCAGGCCAGATACAAAGGCCTTAAGAACTGTGTTTGGTCTGTGGGCCAGAGGTTGAGCACCCCTGCCTTAAATAAAAGATGAGCTGACATAACTTGTGTCCTCCATGGGGCAGGAAGGAGACGTGTACGTTGATGTAACATCTCCCAGAAGTATTGTTCGAGAATTAGGGGTATTACCTTCTCTCTCTTGAATCTAAAATGACAGGAAAAACAGTATTCCATTGTATAAAATGGATTGCCTGGATTTCAAATGTCTTTGGGATATTTGGAACATTTGGATTATACATGTTTATATGCATGTGAAGGAAGCCACACTTTATGGAGGCTTTTGGGGTTTTTTTTTAATGCCCTGGCTAACATTGAAATCAAAATAAATTCTGTTTCTGCAGAAAAGATAGGGTGCCTGAGAATTTTTGTTCATTGGAAGAAACTGATTCTAGCATTATTCAGAAAAGATATGACAAGAAATCTATCACTTTTTTCCTTTGAAGGATTCTCCTGCCAATGGACCAAGAGGACTTTTTGTAGGAGACCTTGTTACGAATCTACAAGACTGCTCAGTTCATAATGTGGAAGACTGGAATTCCTGCTTAGGAGAGCTCTCACAGAAGCCTCAAACAGGCTACTGCATAAATGCAGCAGTACTACAGCAATTAAGCTTCCCAGCTAGAGGTACAACTGTAGATACTCCTTCTAATTATGTAGATTATAGTTGTATTGTTACTCAAGGGGTACATTGGGTTTAGTATTTGTTACTAGGCCAGTGTATTGGTTTATCAAGTTTAGTCTCCTGTCTTAAGCAGTAGTTAGTATGTGATTCGTTTTTTAAAAAAATATGTTGGATAGGGAGGAGGAAGAAGAATGAATTCCTGTTACCTTGTAGCCAGTTTAGTTTATGACATGAAGAAACATTTGAATTGCATGACTACACTTATTACCAGTAATAACATTATCCAGCTCCAATTTTAATCCGGTTACAGTAATCAACTCCATGACCTTCTGAAGTAGTAAATTCCAGATGTTACCTTACTACTACGATTGCTTCAGTGGGAAATCATTAATGCCATGCAAGTTTGTGGGCTGCTTAAATTAACAATCGTCTGGCTTATGATTACAATTTCTGAGCTAACCCATTACTTGCTTTGTGTGGTATTTTTACTTTGTCTCTTAAATACTGAAGATTTTTGCAAATAGGCAGTTAGTTTTGTTTTTTGATTCAACACACTCCTTCTAGAGTCTTATCTTCTATTTCCTTTAATTTTATACATTAGAGTCCTTGTTAGTGTAACAGCTTGGCACTCATTAATGCAGAAGAGAAATTAAGCAAAATGAGGACAGCAAGCCACGGTTTAGTATGAAACTAAAAAAAAACAAACAAAGTAAATCCAATAAACATAGAATTATAGAAAATAGGGTTGCAATTAACCTCAGGAGGTCATCTAGTCCAGCCCCCTGCTCAAGTCAAGATTGTCCCCAACTAGATCATCCCAAAGCTTTGTCTAGCCGGTTCTTAAAAACCTCCAAGGATGGAGATTCCACAGCATCTCTGGGTAACCTGTTCCAGTGCTTTACTACCCTCCCATTGAGAAAATTCTAATATCTAACCTAAACTTCCCTTGCTGCAAATGGAGACTGTTGCTTCTTGTTCTGTCACGTGCCACCGGTGAGAACAGTCTAGCTCCATCCCCTTTTGAATTCCCCTTCAGGCTGTTGAAGGCTGGTATTAAATCCCCTCTTAGTCTCCACTTCTCTAGATTAAATAAGCCCAGTTCCCTCAGTCTTTCCTCCATAAACCATGTGCCCCAGCCCCCTCACCATTTTTGTTTCCCTCCACTGGACCCTCTCCAATTTGTCCATGTCCTTTTTGTAGTGGAGGGCCCAAAACTGAACACACTACTCCAGATGTGGCCTCACCAGTACTGAATAGAGGGGCATAATCACTTCCCTTGACCTGCTGGCAACACTCACTAGTGCAGCTCAGTATGCCATTAGCCTTCTTTGCAACAAGGGCACACTGTTGGCTCATATTCAGCTTATTGTCCACTGTAACCCCCAGGTCCTTTTCTGCAGAGCTGTTGCCCAGTCAGTCAGCCCCCAGCCTATAGTGATACATGGGATTATTCTGTCCTAAGTGCAGAACTTTGCACTTGAACTTGTTGAACCCCATGAGATTTCTTTTGGCCAAATCCTCCAATATGTCTAGGTCACTGAATCCTAGTCCTACCCTCCAGCATATCAACTCCTCCCAGCTTGGTGTCATCTGCAGACTTGCTGAGTGTGTATTCTATGCCATCTTCCAGGTCGTTGATGAAAACATTGAACAAAACTGGTCCCAGGGCTGACCCCTGGGGCACTCCATTTGATACCGGCTGCCAACTAGACATCAAACCATTGATTACTACTGTCTGAGCCTGATGCTCCAGCCAGTTTTTCTATCTACCTTACAGTCCATTCATTCATCCCAAACTTCCTTAGCTTGCTTGCAAGAATGTTGTGGGAGACAGTATCAAAAGCCATGCTAAAATCAAGGTACACTACATCCACTGGTTTCCCTGTGTCCACAGAGCCAGTCACCTCGTCATAGAAAGCAGTCACATTAGTCAGGCATGACTTGCTCCTGGTAAATCCATGCTGACTCTTCCTAATCACCTTCTTCTCCTCCAAGTGCTTAGAAATAGATTTCTTGAGGATCTGGTTCATTATTTTTCTAGTCAATTAGGTGAGGATGATTGGTTTGTAGTTTCCTGGGTTCTCCTTTTTTCCCTTTCTTAAATATGGGCACTATGTTTGCCCTTTTCCAATCATCCAGGGCATCTCCTGATCACCATGAGTTTTCAAAGATGATGGCCAGCAGCTCTGCAGTCACATCAGCCAGCTCCCTCAACCCTCGGGTATATAGTATCTGGCCGCACAGACTTGTATGTGTCTAGCTTTTCTAACTTAACCTGCTCTTTCACCAGTGTTGGCTGCTCACCTCCTTCCCACACTGTGCTGCCCGGTGCAGTAGTCTGGGAGCTGCCCTTGCCTATGAAGACTGAGGTGAAGAAGGCAGTGAGCACTTCAGCATTTTCTGCATCCTCTGTCACAAGGTTGCCTCCCCCATTCAGTAAGGGACCCACACTTTCCCTGATCCTCCTCTTGCTACCAACATACTTGTCAAAACCCTTCTTGTTACCTTTCCTACCCCTTGCTAGCTGCAGCTCCAATTGCAAATTAGCCTTCCTGACTTCATCCCTGCATGTCCAAACAATGCTCTTATACTCCTCTCTATCTATTTGTTCAAGTTTCCACTTTTTATAAGCTTCCTTTTTGTGACTTAGGTTACTGAAGAATTCCTTGCTAAGCCAAGCTGGTCTTCTGCCATACTTGCTAGTCATCCTGTGCATTGGGATGGTTTGTTCTTGCACCTTCAGTAAGGTTTCTTTAAAGTACAGCCAGCTTTCTTTTTCTGAAGTCCAGGGGCCTTACTCCAGTACTCTCCATCCTTCCTTTCCTCAGGATCCTGAACTCAGTCTTCTTGTGGTCACTGCTGCCCAAGTTGCCATCCACTACTACATTCCCCACCAATTTATCCCTATTTGGGAGTAGCAGATTGAGAAGCACGTGGCCCCTAGTTGGCCACTCCAGCGCTTGCACCAGGAAGTTGTCCCCAACACTCTCCAAAAACTTCCTGGATTGCCTGTGCACTGCTGTATTGCCGTCTCTGCAGATATCAGGATGAGTGAAGTCCCCCATACGAACCAGTGCTTATGATTGGGAAACTTCTGCTAGCTGTTTGAAGGCCTCATCTACCACATGTTGCATTACGCCCAGAAGGTCTTTATAGATTAAGTCAAGCAAAATGCAGTAGGAACAGTATTCCAGAGGTGAGGTTTTAGTGCTGAGCAAACATGGAGCCACATAATTTTTTAATAAAAAAAATGTTTTTAAAATTGTATGACATGACCGCAAACTTCCTGCAGCCATTTTAACTGTCCTAACATGATATACAGAAAAAAGTGGAAGTAGCTTTAAATAAAAACTGCATTTCAGACCCATCAGAGCTTTAAATGTTGTCACCTGTATTTTGCATTACATGTAAAAATACATGGTAAGTCAGATACTTGAGCACATTTTGTTTTGATTTATTTTGCTCCCCCAAAACTGAACCTTCTTTCACATTTAAAAGCAAATCCTGAGCCAAAGAGTTACACTACAGCTGACAGCTGGAATTTACAGGGGGATTTTAGTCAGAAACTAGTGACTCAAAATGAAATGGTAAGTCAGCTCCCAAGCTGGTAAATTAATAGTTTGAGTCACTCTGAAAGACTTTTTAATTGGCCTGGGATGGCAAATAAGAACCAACCCTCAGATGTTTATATCTCCCAAAGGTGTGGGTATGAGATCTCTGCTGTCAACAGAAGTACAATTTCAGAGGTTAGAAGTTATAAAACTTCCTATTCCTTAAGTCTCCAAATCCTATTTATACTGTATTATCAGTGTCTTAAACTTATTCCAAGCCCAGTTGGTGTGTATTGTGTTAGCAGCCCAGCTGAACCAGTCTGTCTGCATATTTTCAGCAGTGAGCCTCCAGCAGTGATAATTATTCCTTTGAAATGTAATGAACTTTGTTCAAACTGCAACAGCTGTCATTCATCAAAATATCAACAGTTCACATATCAGCTTCATTTCTAAATATTTAGTATTTATAATGTTCTTATTTACAAATGGACCACATCGATGAGAAAAAAATTAAATTGGTGTGAAGCCATAAAGAAACCAATCTTCTAAAGGCCTCCTAAAAAAAATAAAAAAATAAAACCAGCTTATAAAAGAGTTAATGTAATGCTCAGTCACAAGTAAAAAAACCTCTCCTTGGCTAGTCCTAGAGCAGGAGATGCCAACTCTTGCTCATGCAGGCTCCAGGGTCTGAAGACTTATATAGATAGAAGTCAGATAGTGCAGTGGTATGTAGGAAGTTCACAGCCCTTGTTTACATTAGCAAGGGCACTTATTTAACTTCAGTCAGCTAAAAAAATCTGTTATAGTTAAACTGGTGCAGCTCCTTGTGTTTTTAGAATGACTCAATATACATTTAGTTCGCATTGAAAAGTCAGGTGCTAAACCAAGTTTAAGAGTGTCTTAAGTTCAAATTTTGCACAGGTCTAACTTGGTGTTAACTGTAGGCAGATCAGATTATTTAGTAACTCCTAATATGTAACAAAAGTGTAGTAGTCTGCCCTTAGTATCACAAGGGGATTTATTAAGATGAAAAGATATGCATGTGGGAGAAATGGCTGAAAACTGGCAAAGTTCTTAGGATAGCAAAACTTATTTTCAGTTATGGCTGACAGGCTCTCCAAATGAATTTTTATTCATTAAACAGGCTGCAGAAATGTTTGATTTTATTGAGAGACTGATTTTCCTGCTTTGAAATAAAGTGCAATTTATTATAAATCTGTCACTTGCTCCCTATATGAAATTAATTGGTTGTGTTCTTTAGTCTACAGAAGACTTGATGGCACTGTTGAATGCTGTAGTAACAACAGCCTCACAGATATTTGCTTTTCATACAGCAATAATTTGAACAGCCACCAGGTAAGTTACTTAGGCTGATGTTCAGATTGGTAAATCACAAATGCACTTAAAAATTGTAAATGTTTAATTATAGTTATACATGGAAAGTGCAATGTGAGCACCTCCAAAGCATTTGATAAATATAAGTTACATTTCTCAGTACCCATAGGAGTTAGGCAAACAGTAATATTCCTGGTTTTCACTTCAGAAAGCCAAGACATGGAGTGGTTCTTTAATTTTTCTGAAGGTCACACAAAGATGTGGTAGAGCCAGAAATGGATTCCAGGCCTCCCAAACCCGTACAACTAGCTGAGAGGTCATTCTTTCTCACTTTGTTTCAACTCTCCTACATTTTAAGCTTTGAATGGAGAACAGCGGTGAATAAATGAGCCACAATAGCTCTTGAGAACAAGGGTTAATTGCTCATCATGACTTTGATTCTGCAGGTGCTGAGACTTCTAGACCCTTATCCAACAAAGCATTTGAGTGCCTGGTCATCATTAAGCATCTGAAATCAGTGGGGTTGCTCAGAGGGTTAAAATTAAATGTTCTTAAGTGCCATGCTGGAGCAGGGCCTGAAGAGTTCAGCACCCTACAAGATCAAATATTTTTCTACATTTCACCCTTAGTCTTCCTGAAGAATAAGGGAAAATGTAAAGTGTTTCTTTATGATTAGGCACTCATCATTCTCAAAATATAGGAATTCATACTAAAAGCAAGTGTTTGGGAAAGTTCCAGATAAACAATTGTGGAGTATGTCTAGCAGTTCACTCAGCCATAGGAAAGTATAGGTTACAGTAGAGCAGGGGTGGGCAAAATGGTGGATCTGGCTGGTGGCCGGACTCCATTTCCTAGCAGCCCCTGCCTGCATGGCTGGGGCCAGTTTTCCATGGAGAACCCTACAGAAGCTGGGCTCTGATATTGGGAGGCTGAGGTTCCGTGGAGACTGGCTCCAGCAGCATGGGCAGGGCGTGCAGCAGAATGCAGAGCTGCTCCGGACCCCAGCTGGGATATTGTGGCAGTGACAGCATGGTCCGGAGCTAGGGAACAGCTGCGATGTGTAGCCTGCATGCCTCTGCCCGGGGCAGGGGGGGCTTGAGGGGCTATAGCTACCTCAGAATTCCCCGTAGTAATCCCTCTCCTGCACAGGTGGTGGCAACCTAGCCTGTCCCTCTCCTGCCCACAGCACAGTCCCTCTTAGTCCTCCCCATCAGGAAGAGGCTGGTACTGCTGCTGCCTGCCAGCACTGCTGGGACCAGTCTTCTTGGAAACCCTGGCTCTGTGCTATCACAGCAGGGCTTCTGCTGGGGTCAAAATCTGGCCTGCAAGCCAGACTTTGCCTGCCTTTGCACTAGAACTATCCAGCTGGTAGCCCACTGGCTGTGTGCAGCCTGTGAATGGTTAAATTATGGCCCTCAAGGTCTCACCCAGCCACCACTCCCTGCCATTGCTTTGGCTGGAAGAGCAGCTAGAGTCTCTGGATTTCCTCTCTTAGCTGCTATTTCCTGCTTCTGCCCCAGGAGACAGGACAGGGCGACCCAACACAGGGAGCTGAGAGTGAGTCCAGACTGCATAAGGGGTTAGAGCATGCCCCAAAAGGGGAGCGGTTGTGGAGCAAGGGGGAGAACTATGCCAGTGAGCCCATATGGTACAGCAGTGTGGGGAGGAGCTTCCCACGCCGTCTTGCGAAGCAACAGGGGAGCGTCTGTGTAGTTCATGGCCCACACTGGTGCGGCTTATGGGGTATGTAGCCCCCAGGAGCTTAAAACTTGTACAGCCTGAGTTACAGCAACCCAAGGTAATATACCTTAATTTTGACCCTCACTGCTTACCTTAGAAGAAGAGACTAAATCAGTTCCCAGTTAATGGATGTGCCACCCTGATGTGAAGCTCCCAATCCCCTAGGAATTGAACAAAGACTATTGGGGTGCAGCAATAAAGATTTTCTTGGCCAATACTGATAGCTGATTATTAAGCAGCCATATCGGCTGATACTGATCCGGTAGCTCATTTACAGGAATGCAGCCCTGCAACTTGGAGATCAGCATCCTGCTGGAAAGTCTGTAACGGGGAAGAGGCATGGGGGAAGGAAGGGACGTGGGGGCAGCAGATCAAGGCCCCCATGGTGATGGAAGTAGTGGGGCAGGGGCTGGGGCTGGGATAGGCCCTTCTGAGCCAGGGCGGTGAATGGGACCCTGGGGTGGGGTCAGGATGGCCACTCCAAAATTCCCCATAGCCACCCCTCCCAGTTCCACCACCGCCTGCCCTGCACAGCTGAGTTCACCCCACTCCCAGCCCCCACTCTCCCCCTCACTGGGAAGAGGCTGGTGTAGCTCCTGCCATGGGCAACTCATCCAAAGGGGGTGGGGGGCAGGGCAGCTCCCCACCACTGCACACAATCCCGGGGGAGGCATGGGGGCATGTGCCCCCCCAGATTTGCGCGTGGGGCACAGGCAGGTTGCCCACTATGGGCTTAGGGCCACACTGCCCCATGCCCTGCCATAGGGTGTCAAATTCACCCCCCTGGCTGGGCAGTGCCTACCTCTGCCCCACTCTCTCCCTCGCTGTGGGCATCTTGCCCCTTCCCTCCCTCCACACCCCGCTCCTCCCCCACACTACAGCAAATAGCTGATAAACTCCTACTTGGTCTACTAGATCTTTTCTCCCCTGCAGGGTATAGACTGGAATGGAAGTAGTTTGGATTGAGTTTAATGGAAAATGAGCGACACAAGCTCATGTGCCAGGGTTATCAGCCTTGCTGTTGGCTGAAATCTCCAATCCATCTCCTTTCCTAGGCTTGGGACAGTAGAGAGAGAAATATTTTTTTTGCTTGCCTTTAGGAAAATTTTGTAAATCTGGTGTAAGGGATCAGGAAATAAAATCCACTTCCTGATGGCTTCTATTCATGTCTCTGTCTTCCTGACCTGAGCAGAAGGCAGAGAGATCATAGTCTCTCTGTCTGTAGAATGAGTGGGTGCTGTTGTCAGATTCTAGAAAACTGTGGGTTAGCTCAGAGTGACATCTTAGCAGTCAAAAGTGCCAGAAATGTTGTGTGCTGTAGCTTTTTGTTTGTTATAACAAAAATGTAAGTTCTTATGAGTACCACTGGTAGAAAGGAAATCAAACCCTGTAACGAGGCCCTTACTCCGTGCTGTAACACGGTCCTGGAATATTTCCAGCCAGCCTGGTCATCACCAGTCATGTGTGCAACCCTGATATACCTACATTTAGATTTTGTGCTTGTGTCAGTTCATATTGATACTAATCTTGTGCACATAACCTTCCCCCTCAAAACTGGTAGATTGCAGTGCTAAATGTGGATGCATCAGTCACTGTACAGAAGATCTGAAGGGCATTCAAAGATCTCCATCTGCATCAACATGGTCAGGATGTAGCTCTAACATGTAGTAGTTTTTATTTTTGATCTGTCATAAAACCCCCTAAATTAGATAATGACTTCAGTTTTCCTTTCCAGTATACCTGTTTGCCAGCACGAAAAGCTATTGAGTCCAGCCAAGTTTGTCGAACCAACACAGATTGCCAGAAGAACTTTGTTCCAAGTTTTTGTGTGATACCTTCTGTAGAAAACCAAACAAAGTTAATCAGGGTGAAGCATCCACCTCAGGTTGACATGCTGTTTGTAGGACACCCCATGCATCTTCAGTATACAGGTTTGTGTTGTGTATGAGAGGGCTGATTGAATAAGTTATGGAAGGGCTTTTCTGTATGGTGGTTCTGTGCAGAATCCATTTGTAGTTCCATTTCTTGTTGCCTCTGCAGGTGCATGGAGTAGTTAGAAATAAAAATTAAATACCCACAAGATACGGAGATAATAGAAGCCATGTGCCACATTTCAGATTATTTTAAAAAGCATGAAAAGATCATTTCTCTGATAGATAGCACTTATCCTAGCAGAACCTTTTTGTGAAATTGTACATGTACATTTCCCAATGTGAACTCAGAGGCTTTGGAGTCATTATAAAGTTTTCAGGTGAAGTCATGCACCAACCCCTCAGTTTGTATTGAGACATAAAACAGCTGTTGGTTTTAAACCCTGAATCTGGGGCTAGATTGTTACACACTCTAGGAAGCCTACTCATATCCTAGGTGCAGGTATGTAGGAGAAGTTCATTCCCTCCCAGGAACATGAGAGTAGAGGGTAGATCCTTCACGTTACTCACCTGCTGGCTAAAGGGCATGGGCTAGGTTGTAGGCTGAGGCTGATTTAGGTAATGGGTGCTGGTTTACTGCTTCTTCTCCAGCAGCCACAAGAAAGGAATATAATTTGGTCTCCAGTGTGTGCCTCTGATACATAGCCTGTCAGGACTGATTCTTTGTTGTGCTATGAACTGTCCCTTGTCAGGGCTATACTTGAGGTTACAATCTGGTCCTTTGTGTGGAGCTTCCTTGAAATCACTGGGTTTTCTTCTGAAAACCATGTTCAGAAATTATGCTTATTCAAGAGGAAAGATAAGAATATAGCTAGATACATTCCTAATTAGAGAGAAACTTAAGCATGTGCTCAAATTTCTAGTTAACCTGAATATTTCCTTCTGCTGGATACATTTTTATACTGGTATTATTGATTACTTTTTTAAAATGTATTATGTTCTTCTTGTTTGAAGTATATGCTGGTAGTCTGACACACAATAACTTTTCACGTTGGGATTTTTTAATTTTTTTTTTGGCCTGATTATGTTGGCATGAATGCCTCATTTTGGATTTGTGACATTTCTGCGTACAGCAGCAGAGATCTAAGAATAATGTTGGATAATTATTTTAAGCTCCCTTTCTTTGGTTCTGCAGCTGAACAAACTGAAGGTACTCCAACAACAATTGTTATTGTTCTGTTTTCCAATATCTTGCTGATTAGAGTAATGGAATTTTAGTGGACATTTCCCTTTAAGCTCTAATTCTGCAAAACAACCTGCTTTATTGTCACGCAGTCCTAAAAGAAAAAAAATCGGGAAGGAGCTATATTATTGTTGCCCCTTGTGACCTAAAAATTTAGTCCTACTCTGGAAAGTTGTTTTGTGAAAAAACAATTTGCAGTGCTTCACTGTGTTTGAAGGGTTGCCATATCAAATAGCCATTTTTTTATTTTCAAACTGAGCCTTTTTCCATCCGAGCCATTACTGGAAAGTGGATTTGGCCTCTTAGTTGGGTAGGGTTCTTTCCTTTATTGCATGTAAGTAGCAAAAGTAAAGTTTTATGACCTTCAGCCCTTATCCTGTTTTGTGTGGCATGCATGTTAGTGCATTTGTTTTCCCATGCACTGCACAATTCAGGTTAAGGGCCAAAAGTAGATCACTTTATAGTTTGCCCAGGAGTAACTGACTGAAACTTGGTAAATAATTTTGTGGGGGGAAAGGAGTAAGTATAGAATCGTTTCCTTTAGCTGTGTAAATTTTAAAATGGGAAAATGGTTTAAAAAAAAATCAATCATTTGGTTCTTGCTTTTCACATGGCAAGTCTGATTTTTCCATACAATTCTAAACTACAAATGGTAGTGTTATGTTTCTTATGCAACATTTTTGTTTTTCCATTTTCTTTCTGTTTCAGTGAGCCTCAGCAGTTTTGTACCACGTCACAACTTTCTAAGCATAGATCTACCTGTGGTGATAGAGACATTTTGCAAGTATCCTTTGAAGTGCGTGTTCTTTTTAAAACAAAAAAGAAATTGTTTAGACTCGTCAATCCAGCTAGTTTTCAGATGGATAGTATTACTAGTTTTATACAGGGCCCGTTCTGTTCTGTAGTGCACTGGGCTGCAATGCTGAAACATATCTGTAAGACTTAAGTTATACCTTTCCAAATTGATTTTTTGCTCATGTGACTAACTGAAAATGCTTTGCAATATTTATCAGAATGTTTTTGGTCAATTTTATTTGGACCATCTCCTCTTGGTAAATTTTTAGAGAACTTTGTAGCAAATTTAAATATAATATATATGTAATGGAATATAATATTCACAGTATTACATATAATATAATGAGCGAACAGGCGCAGCAAACAGGGGAAGCAGTTTGCAAGCAGTCCACTAGCCAGCTCGCAGGTAAGTTGCCTTCCCCACTTTGAAGGGGAGCCTTTAAACTTTGTGAGAAGGAGCAGGGGAAAAAGGAGGGACCTTTTGGAACCAAGGAGCAGTAAACAGGCTAGCTTATAGGCAAGTTTGGTAGGAAAGGTCTGCTTGGAAGAAGGGCAGCAAGAGAGAGGTGGAGGATTAAGAAACCCAGGGAAATGCCTGGAGGATGTCACAATGCCAGAGCCACTGCCTCTGCTTTCACCTGTGAGGTGTCTGTCCAGGCAGGACCACTCACTGTCAGGGCTTCAACCCAGGTCCAGGTTTGGCACCGTGGAGACTGTAGCTTGCAGATTCTTTCTGGTGACGACTAAGTTGGGGAGTGCCTGCGCTGTGAGCAGTGCCTCCTGGTGGTGTCCCTCAGGGAGAAGGCAGGAGAGCTAGAAGAGGAGGTGGCAAGGCTCTGAAACATCCTCCACTGTGAGGACTTCAATTCAGTGCTGATGGAGACCTCTAGGACTGTGGAGGGAAGGACTGCCAAAGGCAGTGCTAGAGAAGAGAGAGGATATATATTCCCAGGAAGGTGGAAACTGGAAGCTTGTGACCTGGCAGCAAGCAGAAATCTTCATCTCCACCTGCATCTGTTTGCCCGGAGAACAGACATGGAGCCCTAGCAACAGAGGAAGAGGAGCATGTTCCATTGGTAGAAGAGGACAGGCCACACCTCACTAAGGTGAGAAGGATTGAAACCACTGCCACCAAGATGAAACGATGGGTGGTGGTGGCTCAAAACTCCCTTCTGCGGGGGACAGAGGGATCCATCTTCTGGCTTGACCTGTTGTCTTAGGAAGCCTGTTGCTTGCCCAGAGTCTGGATCTGAGATGTCATAGGAGCATTACTGAGACTCATTTGGCCCTCTGACTACTACCCCATGCTGCTCATCTATGTGGGCACCAGTAATACTGCCAGGGGAGACTCTGAGTAGATCAAAAGTGACTGCAGGGGTCTGAGTGCAAGGATGAAGAGGACAGGGGCTCAGGTGGTGTTCTCGATCCTTCCAGTCAAGGGGAAGGGCCTGGGCAGGAGCAGGCATATCCTGCAGATCAGTGCATGGCTGCTCAAATGGTGCACTAGGGCTTTGACTTGGACCATGTGATGTTGTTCCAAGAAGAAGGATTGCTGGGAAGAGATGGGATCCACCTGACAAAGAAAGGGAAGAGCATCTTGGCAGACAGGCTTGCTAACCTATTGAAGAGGGCTTTAAAATAGGCTTGCGGGGGGATGGAGACCAGAGCCCTGAGAGAAGCGGGGATGTAGGGGACCTGGAGGAAGTGCAAGCAGGAGGGGGCAACAGGGGAAACGTTCTTATTCTTCCTGAGAAAGTAGGGCAATCAACTAGTTACCTCAGGTGCCTGTACATGAATGCACAGAGCCTGGGAAACAAGCAGAAGGAATTGGAAGTCCTCATAGTCGCAGATGTGATTGGAAGATCAGAGACTTGGTGTGATGGCTCTCATGTCAGGAGCACCGTCATAAATGGGTATAAACTATTCAGAAAGGACAGGCAGGGGAGAAGAGGAGTTGCACTGTATATGAAAGAGCCATGTGATTGATCAGCAGGGATTCTGGTTTTCTCTGATTTAAAAAAAATCCCTAATGTCCAGATTTAAAAAAGTAACCCCAAATCCACATTTTTCCGTGATTAAAATGAAACACCACTATACATATATCTATATCTAGAAGAACTCCATTTTTAATCATGGAAAAATGTGGATTTGGGGTTACTTTTTTTAATTGGAGAAAACCAGTATCCTTGGTAATGACCTTGGACTTAAGAAAAGCAGACTTCAACTCACTCAGGGAACTGATAGGCAGGATCCCCCTGGGTGAGTAATTTGTGGGGGAGAGGAGTCCAGGAGAGCTGGCTGTACTTTAAAGAAACCTTACAGAGAGCACATGAACAAATGATCCTGATGCGTAGAACTACCAAGTATGGCAGAACACCAGCTTGGCTCAGCAGGGAACTCTTCAGTGAGCTAAAACACAAAAAGGAAGCTAATAAGAAGTGGAAACTTGCACAAACAACTAGGGAGGAGTATAAGAATAATGGTTGGGCATGCAGGAGTGAAATTGAGAAGGCCAAAGCACAGATAGAGTTGCAGGTAGCAAGGGGTGTGAAGGGTAACAAGAAGGGTTTCTACAAGTATGTTAACAGCAAGAGGAGGATCAGGGAAAGTGTGGGTCTTTTACTAAATGGGGGAGGCAACCTAGTGACAAAGGATGCAGGAAAGGCTGAAGTACTCAATATCTCTTTCACCTTAGTTTTCACAGGCAAGATCAACTCCCAGACTACTGCACCTGGCAAAACAATTAGGGGAATAGATGAGCAGCCAAAAGTAGCAAAAGAACAGGTTAGGGACTGTTTAGAGATGCTGGATGTGTACAAATCCATGGGGCCAGATGGGATGCATTCAGGAGTGCTGAGGGAGTTGGCCTATGTGATTGCAGAGCCAGTGGCCATCAGTTGGTGATTGGGAGAGATCCCAGCCGATTGGAAAAGGGCAAACATATTACCCATCTTTTAGAAAGGAAAGAAAGAGAATCCAGGCAACCACAGGTCTGTCAGCCTCACCTGAGTCCCTGGAAAAATCATGGAGCAGATCCTCTAGGACTCCATTTCTAAGCACTTGGAGCAGAAGGTGATTAGGAACAGTCACCATGAATTCACCAAGGATAAGTCATGCCTGACCAACCCGATTGCCTTCTGTGATGAGATGACTGGCTCTGTGGATGTGGGGAAAGCAGTAAATTTGATATACCTTGACTTTAGCAAGACTTTTCATATGGTCTCCCACAATATTCTTTCAGGCAAGCTAAGGAAGTATGGGTTAGATGAATGGGCTGTAAGGCGGATAGAAAACTGGCTGGACCATCAGGCTCACAGGGTAGTAATCAATGGCTTTATGCCTAGTTGGCAGCTGGTATCAAGGGGAGTACCTCAGTGGTCAGTCTTGAGGCCAGTTCTGTTCAGTATCTTTATCGATGGCCTGGAAGATAGGATGGAGTACACCCTCAGCAAGTTTGCAGATGACACGGAACTGGGGGGAGTTGTAGATATGCAGGAAAGTAGGGCTTGGATTCAGAGAGACCTAGATAAATTAGAGGATTGGACTAAATGAAATCTCCTGGGGTTCAATAAGCAGAAATGCAATGTCCTGCACATAGGATGGAACAGTCCCATACATCACTGCAGGTTGGGGGCTGACTGGCTACGCAGCAGTTCTTTAGAAAAGGACCTGGGTTACTGTGTACAGTAAGCTGAATATGAGCCAACAGTGTGCCCCAGAATCCCAAGAAGGCCAATGCCGTACTGGGCTACATTGGTGGGAGTGTTGCCAGTAGGTCAAGGGAAGTGATTATGCCCCTCTATTCAGCACTGGTGAGGCCACATCTGGAGTACTGTGTTCAGTTTTGGGCCCCCCACTACAGAAAGGATGTGTACAAATTGGAGAGAGTCCAGTGGAAGGCAGTGAAAATGGTTAGGAGGCTGGGAAACATGATTTATATGAGAAGAGGCTGCGGTAACTGGGCTTATTTAGTTTGGAGAAGAGATGACTGAGGGGGGATTTAATAGCAGCCTTCAGCTACCTGAAGTGGGGTTTCAAAGAGTATGGATCTGGACTGTTCTCAGTGGTGGCAGATAACAGACAAAAAACAATGGTCTCAAGTTGCAGCAAGGGAAGTTTAGGTTACATATTAGGAAGAACTCTCACTAGGAGGGTAGTAAAACACTGGATCAGGTTACCCTCTTGTGGACTTTTCATCCTTGGAGGTTTCTAAAACTCAGCTAGACAAAGCCTTGACTGGGATGGTCTAGTTGGGGATGGTCCTGTTTTTGAGGTCCCTTCCAACCCTAATTTTCTATGATCCTATGGTAAACTCTTCTGGCAGAAAAAAATGATACATTGCTGCCAGTTTCTGCACGGAAAATCTATGAGTGTTGCCTTTTTGGATCAGTACTTTGAGCCAAGTTACACTGTAGGATTTTTCAGTCCCTCCTCTCCCCCCCTATAGTTTTTTCCTTGTGAGAGGAAAAGAAGAACCAAACCACTCAAGAACCTCTGTCCTAAAAACACCTTTGGTGGTGTTGGCTTTAGGTTTTATATACAGGTGTCTTTTGACAATGGCTAGATTGATATCTCCTACAAACTAAAATCTCTAGGGGCAGATTATTCAGGGGTGAACCTAAGGCCATGAAGGCTGATGTATGAACTCTTGCCAATCTAGCAGCAGCTAAAAGGGTACAGTGACTCGCATGTGCTTCTGAGTCATACTTATTTTCCAGCTTTTAGATGATGGGCTAGGTAGAAACTCACAGCTGGCCTATAGCAGCAGTATTACCAACCACTGACCAATATGCACTCAGTGGGCACATCTATATGTATGTGCATTAAGTTTAGTACTTGTAATAACAGGTACCTGTAATAACAGATACTAACTTAATGCACCATAATTGGTTCTGCTACGCAGTAGCGCTGGCGCACATCTTTTAGGTGACACTAGTGCGCAGTAGACTAATTCTGCTCATCAGCACATTAGCACAGCTTTTGCTGTGACATGCTAATGTGCAGTAGAATTAGTCTACTGTGCTTTGAGCATCCTGTGTAGATGCACCCAATATGACTTGGCTTCACTGGCCAGTGAGAGGGGAGAATAGACCCAGATTCACAGATTGCCTGGCTTTGTCCAGTAGTGGAGCATGTTGAAGAACATCCCCACTTATTTCATACTATGGCATAAGTTTGTAGGCATATACACAGAGTCAGAATCTAGGTTAGAGTCCTCAAAAACTGCAAAAAATAGTTGAGGAAAGTGGGCAGCTTTAGTGCAAACTCTTCATCTAATGTGCCAGCTTTGAACTCTGACTTAAGGGGAAGAGAATTTTTCACTATCAAAATGATAGTTTCCTTTAAGTGGATTCCCCGAGCTGAATCCCAGAATGTAATTTTGTGATTGGCATTCTGTATGGTGAAGAACAACTCATATATTCTTTCCTACATGCTAGCAATAAAAAGGGAATATTTTTCTTCCAGAGGTTTATCTTATGGTAGGCTGTTTTCTTTATGAACCTTAACGAATGTCAATTAGATATCTAATTTCACTCTCAGGGGCTTTGGCAGTTATCAATGCAGTACCGTGCTTTGCTTTGGATGGCCAATGGATATTAAACTCTTTTCTGGAAGCCACTCTTAGTTCACTGATTGTAGAGAAACAAAACAGAGAGCTTGTTGGCTTTTTAATTTTGCTTGCTGGCAGTGCACTTTTGGCTGCCAATGTAGCACTGGGACTTTGGATGGTGACAGCAAGATAGTATGTTGGATAAATTTCTGCATTGGACCATTTCCACAAATTCTACAAGAAAAAATAATGATTTTTTTTATTGTCTTTTAAGACTTTTTTTGTATGAGGGGGAAATGATTTTATTTAATTTATTTTGGAAGAAGGATTGATGGTGATTTGGAGAAAAGTCTGCAGAACCTTGTGAGTTTGATCATGGAAACACTGAAAGAAAAAATAAGACCGCATCCCTTTAACTGTAATATTGTGTTTAAAGCACTGTGATCATTTTAGAGAAATTGCATCAAAAAGATTTACAAGAGAAAAACTAAAGCTTGATTCCAAAATGAGGGAATTTGGCACTGAACTCTTGCACACTGGCAAGGGGAAAACATATTAGCTATATTTTATCATTTAAATAATTATGGGACAGTCTCTGTCGGTTGAATGAACATATTTCCGTGGTGGAATTTTTGGTTAATTTGTTGTTGTACCAGTTTGGCTCTCAAAAACTGATGTCTGAGCTAATTTTAAATTAGTGAAAGTCTGTATAAATTATAGCAACATGTTAATGAAGAGAAGGAGACACCATATGTTGTAGTACCATTCCTTTCCAGCTGGCCTATAAGTCTGAAAACATGTTGTCCTTTCCATGTAGATGGAAAGCACCAATGTCAGATATGTGGGAGGATAACAAAATCCACATGTCTGTGTTCCTTAGTACTACTGAGAATATTTTAGAAAATAATATTTTGTCTGTTGGCAACAGCCTGAAAATAGCTTGATGTTCTAGTCTTCTAGTGAGAATCCTACTTACTGAAATTAAGCCATGTACAATTATTCAAAAGTGATTGTAAAGTGTTGGGTTTTTTTTCCTGATTCATATAAGGCCAATAGCCTACACCAGAGTTGCATCTTACTGGATGTGTCTACATGTTCATTTGATACAGAAGTAGTTCACTTGCAAGTAAATGCTCCTGGGCAGGGGTCTACATGTGCAGAGAAGCGGGAGCCGATTTGTTGCTAATAGCAGCAAACTGCTTCCACCTCATGGGACCCTGCAGTGGGTCCCTGTTGCCACCAGGGGGAGCTCTAGGTTGCCCCTGGGTGCTAGCCCAGGAGTTGGCAGGGAGCGCCAGGCCAGGAGACACCTGTCTCCTGGCCGGGGCTAGGATAATGCACCCTTCACCCAGTGGCTAACTGCTGCATATCAGCTATCGGATCAGTATCGGCCGATATGGCTGCTTAATAATCAGCCATCAGTATCGGTCAAAAAAATCTTTATTGGTGCACCCCTGATTTCTGAACCAGGTAACCTAGCTTGTGTTCCACGAATGTGTGGCCAGTCCCCATAAATAAGCTGCCCAAGTCTTAGTCATCCAGCATCCAGGGTACAGTGTCCCCTCGCCCCACCCTCTTGTTCTCTGTGGACAAACTTTCCACCTCCTGAACTCTACTGCCCATGAGATGGTACTGGACCAAACCAGCTCTTCCTCCTGCCTCTGGGTGTGACCTGGCTAGGCAGCTTGCAGGTGCACAGACCAGTTTGGAAGGGAGGGCTATGGAGGATCCAGGGGGAGAGCAAGGTAGGGAGAGAGATCAGGGTCCCCATAAGCTGGGCCTTCCTGGCAGGAGCAGGGACAGTGTCCCTGTGAGCTGGGACTACCCAATCCCCATCTCAGTTTATTAAAACATAAGGCTTTCTTTAATTTACATTTTATTTCTTTTAAAAAAACATTTATTTTACGCTTTAGTGGCTTCAGCGGCTGATGGACTTCATTTTACCATTCAGCCCCCAGCCACCATTCCCACTCATTGCCTTTTGACCTCCCACTTCACTACCAAGTCCCCTCATTAAATTCTCCCCCTTTCCAGCCTGATGCTCCTACCCCCAGCAATGCAACCCTCCAAATTATCCCCACCTAGAGGTGGGATAGAAGCCTATCCTGACTCTCAGCCCTCTAGCGGCAACTCCCAGCTGTAGCCCCTAGTCAGGCTGCTGCTCACCAGCCCTCTAGGCTAAGTACAGACAGTAAGAAAGCCTGAGGCTGAATCAATTCCGTCTTTGCAAGTTAGTCTAAACTGCAGAGATTAAACTGAGAAACTAGACACACACTTATTATTGATTCAGGAAATGCAGTCACATGCCTGCAGTGGCTCAGGCCAGAAGCCGGGGAGCACTAGAGCACAGCTCTCTGGCTCCTAGCCAGCCTGGGCTGTGTTTGCTGCTTCTTCCTGCTGCCCCTGAGGTCTCTGGGATTTGCAGTGCAGAATCACATCAGCAGGATTCTGCAGAGTTGCTCATCACTTCTTCCTGCTTCCAGATGCCTCTGGGATTTGTAGTCCACAGTCACAGCCAGCAATAAGTTTTTAGCAGGGCAGGGCAGCTATGTACTCAGGGAAAGGGAAATTTAACCCCCCACCCTCCCTGGCCCCAGACCCCAGCCAGGGTTTGCCTGGGGCGGGGTGGGGAGCAGGCCCTGCTTCCCTCCCCCCACCCCCCGCAACCCTTCTCTGCTAGAGCAGACAGCACAGCCCAGCCCAGCCCAGGGCTGGAAGGGAAGTTGGGATGCTGGGGGACTCTGATTTAGCTTAAACTAGGAAGGGGTCTGGGACAGAAGTTTCATAAACTGATTTGACCCAAATCAGTTGAGTCTGATACTAGATTTAACCAGGTTTATCTTAAATCAGTTTCAGCCATTTTGAAACTGGTTTATGTGCACTGAACTTCTGTTCTGTTACAGGTTTAAACCAGTTTCTGATTACTTAAACTGGTTTATGCATAACTTCTGCCCCTAGCCCTTGTGGCAGGTCACAGCTGTGTAAGTGGGGGACAGTGAGAGATGGTTTTTAGCTTGAATGTGATTTTTTAAAACTTGAGTTAACACTGATTCCAATCAACATTAGAGAAGCTTAAAGTGTAATAAGTAACAAAGCCCATGGTAGAGGAGCAGGTAATTGAACCCTGGATGTTATAATCTGTGTTAGTCCAGTGATGATGTAGACTGACAAGGGGGCATAGCTGGCATCCAGGTCCATTTCAAGGCTATATGCCTGGGTGAGAATAGGAGTTAAGTAGTGTGTTCCTGGAAAAATGTCATTTGAGGTCTCTGTTCATGTTAAGTCTGTGTGTATTTAACAGTGAAATCGTAATTGTTTAGTGTTCCTCCTGTGCTGCTGTGTATACAGTAGGGGTGATATATAGCATCTCACTGGCTGTCTCTTGCCCAAGGAGTTGCTTTATTTTGGCTGTGTTAATTTTAGTTAAAATTGTTCTGTTGAGATTGATCTGGGGTCGTAACTGATTAGAGAAAAGAATATGAGTATGTGTAAAGTGCATTTTGTGACTGTTTGGCTTTGTTTTTTTAAATGAACGTAGACCAGATCCTTGTTTTTGCATGTCAGGACAGTAAGCACTGGTTCAGCCTGCTCTTTGGCAATTGAAGAGCATCTGATTTCTGATTTCCAAAACATTGCAAATACTAGCACTTAAAGTTTGCGGCATTGACAAAACAAATGTAACATTTTGTGCACTTACCGGTTATGTGTTTGTGTAATGCAGGGTCTGTTTCTGTCTGGTGTTAATATGAAATATTTTCCCTGATAAAAGTAAGTCAAATTCACTCAGATTTTGTGTCGGCACGTAGACCAAGATTTTCAAAACAGACAAGCTCCCATTTTGGTACCTGAATGTTTGGAATGGTAAGATACTGAAAAAATGTTTGGCCCCCTCCTCCCCCTGCAATAACTTTCAGAACAATGGGAGTTTCCTTGGGTTCAATGCACTTTTAAAAAACTGATTGCTTTGTTAAAGGGGTGAAATAGAAGTTTAGCTAATAGTGTCTGACCCACTCTGGGAAACTCTGTAGCTAATAGTGTCTGGGAAACTCTGAGTTTCCCAGCTTACACAGAGTGGTGCCAAGAGTAACTTCAACAGAAACGACACAGGCTCTATTCTCATTGCTACACTCTGCTTCGTGTGCTCTAATGTCTCGTTGACCATTGATGTGTCACTGTATTTTCTCATTATTGCCTGTGTGTTTCTAGGAATAATGTAGCACAAGGAAAATAAACTTTTCTTCTAAGATGATGTAAATAGGTATTGGACGAGGGAACATGTCAGGCAAACTAACAAGATGCAAAATTTGTTAACATCCCACAAGTATTGTTATTGTCTTTGACTCTAAAAGCTCCTTTTTGGGATGTGATGTAGTCCCTGCCTTCACCTGGACTTCAGTCCTCATCTTCTCTGGCTGATCCTATGCGACTCTGCCCGTTGCAGGTCTATCAACGTCCTAAAGGGGCTTAAAGCAATAAACTAATGGAAATTGCCAGCAGGCTTTCCTTTCTTCAGGGGGCCTCAGACAGGCTTTCAGCAGTTATAAGAAATGCCATTTTGTGTCAGATCCAGTCTCCTTTCCCTCATAGTGGCAAGGAGTGGATGCTAACTCCTTGGATCCAGGGTGATCCATCCCTTGCTTCTCTTGTCCCTACAGCTTCCTGGTTGTCAGGACTGGGCCCTGAGCTATGAATGTGTATTCGTTTATTCAGGCAGTTGCTATCTGATCTGTACTCCTCCTTTTCAAGGCCTTTCTTTTACGCTTTGCAGATGTGGTGGAGTAGGGCTGCTTGAGTTTATGGCAGCTCTGTTTCTTCTTCCTGCCCAATGTGGAGTCTGTTCTCTGTCGTAGGTACATATATTTTGAATTTACCTTGCAGATGTTTCTCTGATCATAATTCTAATATATTTTGATTGGCACTAGCTATGACTCAGTAGAACTGATTGACTTTGATATTGAAGGGAATTGGGGTTTTTTTTGGCTACACGCAGATCGCACTATTCTGTATGCGTCAAGAGTTGCAGCACTGTTTACTCTTCCAATGTAGTGACTGCTGTGGCTGCTTCAAAACTATTCCCTGGTTAAAGTTTTAAACTCAGTTTGATAAATTCATAATTTTGTTCACTGTAAATATTGTCTGACAGCCTATGCGAGCAGAGGAGGACGGATATAAAGATTTCCCTATCCTCAGCTAAGAGCTTTGTGCTGGGGTGCTGATGACTGCATTCGTTTGCTCTGAAGGTAATTGGTCACTTAACATGCCACTTTTGCACTGTATACATAAGAAAATAAATCTAATTAATCCTACTGCACATGGTGCTCACTAAGGGCAGACTGCCACTTTTTCTCACACTGGGTAAACTTTACTATGTAAAAAGCCCCATCTTTTCTAATGGACCAGAAAAATCAGTTTTTTCTGGTCTAATGGACCAGAAAAAAACAATTAAATCTTGTTCAATAAGCTTTAGTTAAAGCACTCCCACCGCCATTTTCCGGCACGGGGAGGCTAATGCATATGATGCTGCAGGCACTTTAATTAGAGCGGCTCTCAGAGCTGCTCTAATTAAAGCACCCCCAACACTTCCAGAGCACGTCTATAAACACCCCAAATTAGCAAAACATGTAACTATGAAGATAAGTAGATACTTAGTCCATCCTTGTTCAGCTAAGGGTGTCTGCTTGTCTAAGAGCATACCTAGGTCTCATTGAAGTCTAAGTTTTACAAGAAAAGGTTGTATTTAGTTGTGTTCAGGTGCTTTGAACCGGACCCTAAACTAGCTTTGACTGCAAAATAAAATCAGGGGTAAGCTTTGCCTAAAAGATGACGTCCAGTGTAGCTACTTGTGGGCAACAGGAATGCATAGCCTTAACCAGGCCATGAACAAATTGTTGCCCATCCCATTCAGCTTCATGATGTTTGTAAGGAAGTGCCATTTCTAACTGTATACAGATTTTGGTTGCATCTGTGTAGTGGGAAAAGATGCAGTTAGAAGAAAATAGATTGGGACACTCAAGATTGTATGTGGATTTTTCCTTTAATTCTTGAGCAGTTTGTAATGTACAGAGAGACTGCATCTGAATTCTTTTTGTTTTCATTTAATTTTTTATTTATGTGAAATCTCTTCATGCTTTCACTACGTTTCCAAAGATGATTAAAGATGTTCTAGATAGTACTAATGTATGTACAGTAGCAATATATTTCTCAGCCTTTTCAGGATTGCAGCACCCCACCTCCTCTTTTTGAATGTCAAAGTTCCCCTGGCTGAGAACTGCGGTTGGTGCTGCCTCAGTTTACCTCAGTGCTTCTCAGCTGGGTTTTGCTGCTTCTAAGTGAAACTATACCACATGCCTGCTGCATGGCCAGCCTGGGAAGGGCTGTGCCATGTGGGCCCGCTCCCTCTGCATTAGGGCTCTCTAATTACCTGAAAGCAGGCAGGAGATTCATGCTGTGTAACCCATCCCTACCTGGTTCGGTGCCCCCTACACTCCTCCCAGAAACAAAAGCGGATGGGACAGTTCCACCATGAGGTACCTAACCAGGAAGCGCCGCACAGCATAAAGCTGCTTTGCTGCCTGCTTTCAAATGATTAAAGAGTCCTAATGCAGAGGAAGCACAACGCAGCAGTTTTATCTGGCTGCTGCCGCCGTGACACCCCAGTTGAGAGCCATTGATTTACAGCATGCGATTAAATTAGTATAAAAGACAAATTTTGATTTCTGTATAGGTAAGTTTGCTAATCTTTTCTGTATAAATTTATATCCCCATCAGATGGGGAAAAAGAAATGTCTAATTTTCAGACGTTCTAGGTTGGTCTTACTTGAACTTCTTATCTGTAAAGTCTTAAATATTTTATGCTATGTTGGCAAATAAAACGGGCTGACTTCCTTTTGAGTTAAACGTGGTGGATTTCTCTAGGAAAGCTTTATATTAAAGTTGCATAGAAATCATTGAAAAATACGCAGCTTAGCACTGAAATCTCTTCAGTCAGCCTTTTAATGATGATATCATGGCTAACTATTTTATCTGCGTATCAAAAAGTTATCAATACTGCAAAATACTATTGCCCATAATGACTTTTTTTGTGAATGCATGTGTATATACTGTATATGTCATACTTCATCTGTTTAGAGGTAAGTTATCACTTATCAGTCCTCCATAACTTCAGATTTGTGGTGTATAAAATTACTGGCTTTTTCTGGAATTTTAAACTTGTAACTTGTTCCTCTCCCACAATTGAGCCATATGGATTTTTCTTTATGCAATAAAA